TAAACTTTTGAATTCACATATTGTGTTATTTAATAATTGTTCTTAGAGCCAGTAAAATTTCAAATATGATATTGGAACGTAGGCTTTACATAAGAGCATAGATTATCTATTCTCTTTTATAATATATGATGCTGCTACTTTTCTTTTCTTTTCGAACCTTACTTAGCGCTCATATAGCAATATTTAAGTATAAACTTGACGTTTCCAAGTAAGATATAAAGCACATTTTTAAAGATGAATTTATTAAGAATTTTTGTTTAACATTTGATGTGGTGAGTTCTTATGCTGTAAGTCAGTTTTATTTCTTCGATTCCTTTTGCATTTTCTCTACATTGTTTTTTAATTATTGGTTATAGGTAGCCAAAGTTAATATACTAATTCATGAGGATCGAACTTTAATTTGTAACTTTATTTATGTTTCTTTTTAGGGTTTTCACACTCTGAAACTTTTGATTTGGACAAGTTCCTCACGAAACGCTGTATTTGGTAAGGTGCCTGCTAAAATTATTGAACTTTTATGTTGTTGGTTTAGGCTGGTGAAAACATTTTATCAAATTAATTAAGAATTAAAATGTGCTTCGTGCTCAAAGAATGTGTAGTGTCTGACTTTCTGAATATATTATGTTTATCTAATTCACTCTTTGGAACTAAATTTGCCTATTTATTTTTCCCTACGATGTACTTTTCATTAAGGTAATTATGAAGTTTATAAAGCTTCAGGCCGAATCGTGGTTTTTTAAATATAAATGTAAGACATTTTTAATCGAAGGTATGAAAACCAAGATGCTATGACCTTTTGTGTGGTCGCAGTCTCCTTTCGTTGTATAGAAGTTGTTTGACTTTGTTTTCGCAACTCGGTCATTTGGTAGGAAGACTGATAGAAACGCATCTTGTCTGGAGTCCATTGTATGCATAATCATTTCCAAAGTCGGACCGTGGACGTGGTACATTTCCAGACGTTTGGCCGGCATCTTCAATGAGTTTTGCCATTCGTAGCACCATATTACAACTCGTCAAAGTGACAAATAAAGCCGATCCTTTGACCAAACGTGTGCTAAACAGTTATGTTATCTCCCTTCTGCCCTGGCCTATTCACATTTCCTATATCCTCCTATCACACCTTTACTGTCACTATTTTTTACTTGCTTAATTAAATGTGGTACGGTGTGCCCTTTTTTAGCGGCTCTTATGAGAATCCTCCGCACTCCACGCTGGCCCTTTTACCTCCCTCCATCCTTGTGCTAGGAATGTTGATCAGAGTCTGCCATATTGTTACGCAGTCCTCCCATAGATCTTATCACAATCTCTCTCTTGCCTCGTAAGATCCGTCTGCCCTCTTCCTGGTTAGGGTTATGGAGTCTATGACTTCTCATGCCCTAGTCTCTTGTGTACCAACCCACAAACGTCGATGTTCAATATTGAACCTAACCAAAGCAAGCAGTACCATTGATCAACATTCCCAGCACAAGGATTTGCCAATCTCAGATCGCTAATTAGGCGCACGCACACACAATAACATTATTTATTTAATCGACCTTATGAAGACCATGATGGCGTGTCTTTTTGTATTGTCGCAGTCTGCTTTCTTTGTATAGAAGTGGTTGATATTGTTTTCACAAGTTGGTCATATTGGTAGGAATACTTAGAGGAATGCACCTAGTCGTAAGTTCATAATATGCATGATAATTTCCAGAGTCAGACAATGGCCGTAGTACATTCCCAGACTCTTTGCCTGCATCGTCAGTAAGCCTTGCCATTCTTAGCACCACACTACGATTCGTCGAAGAGATTTATTTCCACCTACCAATATTACCTATTTGAGAAAACAAGGGTTTCGAGACTACCAGTAAGTCAGTTATATGAGATGTATCAATCTTATTTCGTTGAAATTGATAAAGGTTGAATGTTTCCAGATTGATATAAGTAGAGATAACGTTTCCTTTGAAAAGTGTTCTCATTCATGGTGGACTGCGGTTCGACCCTCAGTGGGAGTCGAGCCATACCAGTGCATTGTGCAATCTCGTCACGTTAACAATTACGCCACATTGCCACGGGTGCACTTGGGGCACAAGGAAAATGAGAATCTCATGGAAGGCCAGGCCTTTTCTCATATCTTATCATTTGATGGGATTTTTAGTAAAACAAGTTATATTTGCTATGACAATTGACTAGATTACTCATTTTTTATTCATAAGTGGAGTTTTAAGACTCTCAGTTAGTCAGTTATATGCCTTGTTGGAGTACCTTTTTATTTTGTTGAACAGAAGAATGAAGAGATTCGTTATTTTATTTCACAGCAAAGTGTGGGGGTTGCCTTGGAGCCTTGGTTGTAGATTTGTGCCAATAGGTCCTCAGCGCACCGCCCCGCTATCCCGATCAATCCTTGCTGTGATTTTGTCCGTCATGTGACGGACATCGTCATAGCAAGACACCACAATTGACGATAATTCACCAAAAACACGAAGGTAGGAAAGGTGGCCGGCTCCAAACCTACTTTATTCTTATATTCCAATTTGGTCGACTTGGGCATCTCATGTTTTGGTTGGATGTTCAATGATTTGCCTCTATACTTGCTCATAAGTTAGGTGGCTGCGGATGGCATGCGAAGTGGCTACATATAAAGCCTGAAATGAGTGCAATTGAAACCGAGCAGCTGCATCTTTTCCTAAAACATGCATGCCTTTGATCCGGCAACGTTACCACATGCGATTGTGTCCCATTGCACATGTGTTGTGTTAGTGCATTGCTCTTGAAATGAGTGTGATGTGAGAGTCAAAAACCAGCTTCCAGCCTAAGCCAGCCTCTTCCTTTTGATCGGTGGTACTTCTCGTTCACCCCTCTCACTTTATAAACCTATCCATCAGCCACAAGTATTTTCCAAAAATCGGAATTGGCCAGGCACATGGCTCACACAGGACACAGGTCTAATGCTAAACGCTTAGCTGGATATAGAAACTATACCAACCAGTAGGTGAAATAATAGGGAGGCGATAGAAATCAACAAAACTTCCAACACCTTGAATAGAAGGAATGAGTGTAGGAAGCTAAGCGGAAACTACTTGTGGCTGTTAGATAGATTTATAGAGCGAGTGGGGTGAACGAGAAGTACGACCGAGCAAAAGAAGGAGGCTTGCTTAGACTGGAAGCTGGTCTTGACTCTCACATCACACTCATTTCAAAAGCAATACACTCACGCAACGTGTGTGCAATGGGATGCAATCACATGCGGTAACCTTGCCGGATCGAAGGCATGGGTGTATTAGGGGAGGATGCAGCTGCTCGGTTTCAATTGCACCCATTTCACACTTCATCTGTAGCCACTTCACATGTCTTCCGCAGCCATTTAACTCAACTTATGAGCAAATAGAGAGGCAAAGCATAGGACATCCAACCAAAACATGAGATTCATAAGGCTTGGAGCCGGCCATCTTACTTGCCTTCATTTGTTTGGTGAATTATCGTGAAGCGTGGTGTCCTGCTCGAACGATGTCCGTGACATGACAGACGAAAGCTCAGCAAGGATTGATTGGGGTCGCAGGGTGGTGCGCCGAGGACCTATTCGCACAAATCTTCAACCACAGCTCCAAGGCAACCCTCCACTTTCTCCGGTGGAATCAACTTACGAATCCCTTCCGCTCGCCCCTTCAAACAAAATGAAGGTACTTCAACATGCATATAGTAAGAGATTCTTAGAAATTCAGTTATATGCCTTGTCTTCTTTGAAATGCACATCTGCCCTTTGACTTAATGTCACTCATGGTAATGTAGCGTAGTAGTTAATGTGTAGAGATTACACGCTGCCTTTTCATGATTCGAGTCCCACCGAGAGTGTTGATAAGACCTAGAGGAGGTCGAAATTGCAGTCAATCTTGGATTCGAATACCTTTTGGAAAAGCAAGGATATGTGAAATTCAATGGAAATGTCAGCTCTACTCATATTATTGTGGCAACATTTAATTACCGGTCCTTTTTTATCCTTAAACGAAATAGGGCGTGTACATCTCATATTATTTATTTAATATCCATTAAAATTAGTTTACGCATCTCTTTTTCAATCACCCTTACGAAATATTCTGACTGTAGTGCATTCCTTCTCAGGGTTTACTCTCTGAGGCATATGAATCGGGCTTGATGCGTATTTGCCTACCATAAAAATCTGGGAAACATGCCTTTTGAATCTATATTTTTTACATAGATTTATCTTAAGGTAATATTACTTGATAGGATGGGATTTTAAAACAGCTTTTAGGACCTTAATCATCATGAATATTTTGACAGTTTTATTGAAAAAATATCGCTGCCTTCATCAAATATGGATTTGCCCCAGGGGTTAATTAAAATCTTGCATACTTGATTTCTTTAGAAAGCGATATTATTAGGACTCTTGCATTTAACATACTTTTCCACATGTAACTCTTAAATATTCCTATTCTATTTATCTTGTTACATTATTATCAAACCCAATACATATATAGTTTTGACGACTTCTCCATATACGCTGTATATAAATCCTTGTCAATATCATACAATTATATTTTATCCATCCAATACTTATTTTGGGGGCCAAAACCATTTACATTATCAGGCCAATCAAGTACATTCACCGTTTTCCTCCTATATGAAACTAAAAACAATGTTCATAATATGCCCAGAATATTTTATCACTTTGTCTTGATTCTTTACAAATATATTTTATTTATAGTGATTTGTCTTATTTGGGTCATCTTTCCGGGATCCCAAAATTTATTTTTCAACATTATCCATCTTTCCTTTTTTTTATTGAATAGCTTGTGTACACTAACATCGAGCTGGATTTTAAGCTCTTCATTTCTGGTCTTCCTATAATATTAACTTGTTTTCATTAGTTGAAATTTTTCCATAGCTCATCATTATGGAAAAAGTTAAAGTGCATTCCTTTATTGGATTTAACTATTTAGCTCCAAATTTCTACTTAGTGCCACCTTTTTTATTCATTATTCATATTTACTAGTCATTTGCCTATGCCCATCTCGAATTCAAATGGTAACCTATCTTCCGTCACACCCGGTGTCCTTTCTGGAAATACTTCATTAATTGGCGGTGTGTTCCCGAATCCTCAATATGCCTGCCCGCGCTGTCGAGCCGGCTATTGTGAACTTCCTGTTGAATGTTCTGTCTGCGGATTGACTTTGGTGGCAGCCCCGCATCTAGCCCGTGCATATCATCATCTATTTCCGCTGCCGCCTTTCATAGAGGAACCAGCCACAGCCCAATTGACCGGTGCCGATAAAACAACAGATCAGTCTTCCAAAGCAATTGATGAGCACCGTGTAGGGATGAGTGAAGTAGAAGATACCTCTCCTGCTCAGCTCAAATGCACCGGTTGTAATTGTCTCTTGTCTCTTGGGAAACCAGTGAGTATAAAGAGGATATGATGAAGTAACATCGCTCTTTAAATTTCTGCAGACCATAGTAACTCAGGCCAACGTTTTTAGGCTTATTATTTCTATTTATGACCTTGTGCTGGAGAAAATAGTGAGCCTTTATTGTTGGAAGACAAATGAAGGACGATTTGTTTAATCTGCCTTTTATATCAATTATGACCAAGCTACAGAATAGTGTCTTGTCTCCCACTCAGGGGCCGATGCTACCGAATTATAAGGCTGCATTTATAGTTTCAGTTCGTCGTATAAATTTTGTTAAAAAAACTGAAAAATTAACTTTGGATAAAATAAGGGTTTTGTTGTTACATCCTAAAATTGAGTCCATTCGCTTTAAAACGGATTTTAGATTATTTTGTCGTTATTTTTCGCGGTGATCACATAAGTCTCAAATTCATTTTTTCTATCTAAACATGGGAATATGAATGCTGAACGGGACATAAATCTTAGTGTAAATGCCAAACTTCACGCGTCTCACGAGCATTGCAGCGCACAATACACAAGCAATTGAACGCAATTACATGCGGTAATATTGCAGGATCAAAGATATAGGTGTTGTTTTCACTTTATTTCGTTTAAGATGATGATGAACTGGTAGTTGAATTTTCCTGCTATGATGTTTTCCATTGGATTTCACATAGCCTTGCTTTCCCAAAAGGTGTTCTCATCTAGGTTGGACTGCTTTTTAGACCTCAAATTGGCCTTAGCAACACCCAAGGCGAAAGTCAAACCATGGCTGTCTAGCATGTACGCTCGACATGTTAATCAATACGCCACATTACTACGAGTGCAATTGGGTCACAGGGCAGATGTGAATTTCAAGGAATGTCAGGCATTTTCCATATCAGATTCCATGTTGGGATTGTTAATGAAACAAACTTATATTTGTTATAGCAATCGACGCTACTTTTTTCGTGAGTAAGTAAGTTTTTGAAACTACCAGTAAATCAGATACATTAGTCCTTGATCATCTTAAACGAAATAGGGTGAAAACAACAAATCTACAGTCACAGCTTCAAGTCTTAGGTTTCGTTTATTTTAAATAATTAATGTTATGGGGCTTATTGCTTACTACTTCTAGCCATCCACACTATTATTTTGTCAAGTATTTGAATAATAGACCTTTTCGACACTTTAATTTGTCATTTTTTAATGTCAATTTCTAAGATAATAAGGCATTTGTCCAAGCTATAAACAAAATGTAATTATCTATGTATATATATATATATATATATTAATTGCGAGAAAAATTTAGATATAGCTGGATATGGAAACGTCCGGCTAATTCACTTATGCGCGAGTGTGTCTGTATGTTAGCGTCAGCCCCAGATCATCAAGGTTTAATACACCAAGGAATAAATTATGATCGAGATTGAGTTAGTCCACAACTAACTCTGGTTGAATTGATAAGGTGTAAGTATGTACGTGTAAAATTCAGGTTACAAAACCCCCATTCCAAACCTGTTGGTCTGAGTTATGAAGATTTAATTAACCAAGGAGAAGCATTGCTTAAATTGCGTAGTCTTGCACGTCTATATTGGTTCAATAGACTAATTTTGTTTATTTTTAAGTCGAGATAATCTTACAACTTTAGAGTTTAGCTTTCTATTTTATTTCTAATCTTATATACAGGGAGTTTGTAATATAATGTTATTATTACATTTTTAATCCTCCCTAGGTATGCCGATGCACTCGTTGTCATTCAATTTTCTGCCTATCTTGTGACATATTTCTTCACGATAGTGTCCATTCCTGCCCAACTTGTCTCAATGTTTGAGAAAGCCCTTATCTGCATTGCATTTCAGAGAATATGTTTTCCATTATTTATTTATCTTTAAATGTGCTTTTTATCAATTTATTTTCCTATTTTTTATTGGATACTAATTGGACCCTGAATTTTATTTACTCGATGCATTTTTATGCATTCTCATTTCATTAATAAGTTTTAAATTAGAAAATTTTGCATATAGCGGACCGACCAAATTTAATTGAAATTTAAAATAGTTTAATTCCTATGCTAAATTCGGAGGATAAGCTTCATTAATAAGCAGGCTGCCGAACCTAGTTTCATTTGTGGTTAAAGGGCATGAAATTCTTTGCGAAGCGTGGCAGGTAAAATAATCAAACATAAACAACACTGAAAAATTTCTTTCACTAAATAATAACTATATTTAGTATATGCAAAAAAGTTGGTAATAAAACTATAGTAAGATAAGAGTCACACATTACAAGTGTCAACTAAGTTGATACTGGCGTAGCTTTCATTTCGTTTGAGAAGGCGAGTCGAAGGGATTCTTAGATTGGCCCCACCGTATACCTCAGGATAGTTGCATTGCCTATTGTCTGTTGAACAGTGAACAGTGCCCACCGTCCTACAACCCTTATGATTCCGTGCTGAGCTTTCTTCCGTCATACGACAGATCGTCAGAGCCAGAAGCTATTATTCACGAAAAAATCACCAAAACATTAAACCGGGAAAGCTGACCAGCTGAGATCCTACTTCTTATACCAAACTTTGCTATCTTAATGAGGCATTCCATTATTTGGCTGGCTGACTTATGGTTGTCCTACATGCATGAAAGCGGGTCAAAATGATGCAAGAAGTGGAGCGGATGTGGCCAAACTTTTGTCTATGTAAATAAATAAAAGTATGATCCAGTAATCATGAATCTTGCTAAAACTTTGTGGATGCGTGTTGGCGTCTGTATGCAACAACCTTGAATAAGTTGACAATTTCATGTTCAAAAACAGGCTCCAGTTTAATCTTGTCTTCCCTTACTCAGTGGCTCTTCCCGTTCCCTTTCCTTCTCTCTTTCTCTTATTCTATTTAGAAGCCAGAGATAGTTCTTACATAGTTTCCTACATTCGTTCCTCTTATTCAGGATGTTTGTTTTGTTGATTTAAATCGACTCCCTGATCTTCTGTTTAGCTCTGAAGTCCCCATATCCAGCAAAACGTTGGGATTTCGACCACTCGGTCTGGTGTCCTGTTGCGACCACATGTTCAGCCACTTTCGATTTCTGAATCCATAAACCTTTGCAGAATGTTCTGTGTTCTTATAGCCTCTTATGTATGGGTCGACAAGTCTCCTCCACATAAACACTACCACATGAGCACAAAACATCACAACCCGATTTGCAGAGGGTGTCGGAAGATTCTCTAAAACAAAGCATGATGGTGGAAAGTTTTATTGTTTCTTTATAAATTGTCTTGACGCTCCATTTTCTCAATAATTCGCCTTTATTTCTTGAAAGCTTGCAGGATGGT